AAGATGACGATCGCGATTATGGTAAGGGGTGTTACATTTCCGACGTGTGCTTGCAGTGTTCGGCCAATCACAATGCACTGGGTCAGCTGGCCAATCAGAGCAGACTGCGCTTGTCGGAAGGAGGGACTTTGTAGAAAACAAAGCGTTTGAGAGAGGCGGGGCATAGAGGACCTACAATAATGTACAGTATTTGAAAAATAATGTGTTTTTTGAACATTAAAGCATGTCAACATATTCTGTTACACCAAATAATGATCTTTAAAAAAGCGTCATATGACCCCTTTAAAGTCAATTAATTTTTTTGTTCTTAATCATTTTAATGTGTTAACATTAACTACAGCAATGCTATACTGCTCTTTGCATCATATATTTAGCAAGAACTATTAATGTATGAATCGAACTCACAGAGGTCATTCACACAAAATGCATAAAAAACAAGTCTCAGGCAATGGAATCAACACTTTAAAAATTTTAATAAAAGTTTTTAAAATGTAAAAAGAGGTAAGAGATGAGCACACCATTTAAAGATGCCTGTCTAGTGCAGTAGAGTTAGAATGCAGTACAGAAGAACACAAAGAATAAGACTGCCTACAGTCCACATTCCATACATCCTTTTATTATATTCATGTTTGTGCTTTACAGACAACTCAGAACAGTAGAATTTCAAATTCTGGTGCATGCACTTAAGATGGGTTACATGAGAGCTATAATGACAGTCTTCACTCCTATCGGTTAAACTTTTCTCAAATTTGTTGCATAGCTGTACATGCCTACGCCCTGTAGGCAGTGGTTGCTGTCACTTAGCCTATGTCTCCAAAGCCACCAGCAAATGCTTTGTCCTTGGACGTCTCTGTATGTCTGAACGGGTCTTTATGCAACTAGCAATATTTGAAAACATACAAAAGTGTTCAGCATTTGACTGAAACCTGTCCAATCTTTATCTCTTGCAGGGTTGACCTACAAACCATTCTAAAAAAACTGCTTAGTAAAGTTGATGAAAACCTCTGCCCAACAGTGAACCAAATCAACATATGCAGAGAAAACATACTGCAGTGCAGTCTGCAAGCATTTAAGCGGCGAAGATTTAACCCAGAAGCAAAACTGGATATAGTTTTTGTTGATGCTGAGCAGAAAGGTGAAGGGGCAGTGGATGAAGGTGGCCCGTCAAGAGAATACATGCGACTGTTGATGCGAGCCATCCATCAGTCAAAGATTTTCCAGGGCCATGAGAAAGATCGGAGTTTGGCTCTTGACACTCAAGGTCAGTACGCCAGGCAAAACAAAACACTTTTGTGTCAGGTTATGTTGTAATGCTAAATATTATGGTAGAATTGTGTGTGTTATGACTGGCTTATGACTTATGTTTGATGTGAGATCCACGAATCAGAGAGGTTACTAATTTTGCATCATGAAAGCACTGCAAGTAAGAGTTTGCAAGTGCACTTTAAGGGATAGTTCTCTTAAAAAAAATTTAAATTTACTCACCATTTACTCATTCATTTAGCAGATGCTAGAACACCCTCAGGTTGTTCAAAATCTGTTTTTCTATGGAGTTTCTACTGTTGAACACAAGATATTTAGAAAAATATGGGTAACCGTTACCCATTTCATTTATTGCCATTGTAGGAAAAAAACCTACCCACATAATCACATTAATGAGGGCTCTACAGTGTGACAATTTCTGAAAACTACTGCGTGCGACTATGAAAAAAATATTTAGGAGCACCAGTGCGCCTGACCCAAAATAAGAGATTCACTGATTATAATGGAACTTTGTGAAATTGTGATGAGTGAAAGCTTTTAATTTTTCATAAAGACAGTCAGTTTTATATTTAAAACATTCTAAACATGAATTTAATTGCACTCATGCCACCTCTGAGCCTCATTAAATGTCTGTAAAATACCTACATGCCACTTCTGTGCCACTTTTGTAGTGCAAATCATTTTTGTTAATACTTATTGTTTTTGATCAGTAAAATAACTTCTTCCTTTTTTAAATTATACATTTTCAAAAAGCTTATAAATATACACTCTTGAATTTGACATAAGATGACATACTTTCAATAAAGTTACATTAAAAAGTTACAAAAATGCCCCTTGTAAATCACTTTAGGGAGTCAAATGTTACCTCTTAAATGATTAATTGATTATTGATCAGAAGGTGCTCCTGATTTTTTTTTTCCTGTGCTCCACAAGTGCTCCTAAAAATAAATGTAAGTGTAGAGCCCTGCATACATTTCTCTCTCTTAATCACTTGTTTGGATTGGTAAAGGTCTATGATTTCAGGACTGTGTGCATCACTGTTACATTAGAAAAAAAAAGGATGACAGTTTTTTTTTTTTTTACCTGTCCGCTTATGATCAGATCACTTGAATCCAAATACTAAACATTAAGCCTGTGATGATTGGGGGAATTTTTTTAACTTTTAAAATTAAGAATTTCTGATATGAAGGGTTCTTCTTTGTTTTACTTTAGCTTTGCAGACTAGGTTATACACAGTAATTGGGAAGATGATTGCTGTGTGTGTTGTCCATGGAGGAGTTGGCCCACATTTCTTCTCTGAAAGGCTTTTTCAGCAGATCTGTGGTATGCCAACATCCCCTGCCTCTTTGGATGAGGTTGGAGATCATACATTGAGGGAGCAACTAATCAAGGTGAGGAGATGCTTAAGAATTGAAATGAGTTAACCAGTTAATACTTATTTTAAGAGAAGAAGCCCCCCCACACAAATTTTTTTTTTTTGGACCTGTTGTATTTTGTAGATACAGGAAGCATCATCTGTTCTGGAGGCAAATTGTGCCATTGCAGAGGCTGCAGACAGTTTAAGTATCATTGGTGCCTTGAGATATGTATCAAGCCTGACAGAAAATAACTCTCTTGTGCAGTCGGCTGCAGAGTTCTTTGTGAATGGAAGACTGCAAGCTGCCTTGGAACAGTAAGTGCCTTTCCTTTCCTGACAATATATATCAGCATATATCATTAGCTTGAAACTTATTTAAAAAAAAATGCTTTATTTGTTACACAGGTTTTCAGAAGCCAACCTCCCAGTACCTGCATGACTTTTATACATAAGCAGAGAGAAATAACTCTCGCTACAGTGTTCTTGCACAAGACACAT